AGAAGCAGAAGCAGAAGCAGAAGCAGAAGCAGAAGCAGAAGCAGAAGAAGAAGAAGAAGAAGAAGAAGAAGAAGAAGAAGAAGAAGAAGAAGAAGAAGAAGAAAAAGAAAGTAAATGAAGTTACAGTCCCAGTTCCTCCTTTAGGCTCCACCAAAGGACCAGACAGACAAACAAATGAGCCTGTGGGTGACAATTCATATCCAAATAAGAACATTAAGACAATGACAAAAAACCGAGGTGAAAAGATTGAAGACTTAGAGATTGCTGCTGGAGTTTCATTTGACTAAAACCTGCATTTTTCCTACATGACTATAGTGTGTGTGCATGTGTGTTTGTTCATGTGTTTTTATGACAGATTTTAAATTTTTCATTTATATATTATGTCTCTAAGTATTTTTGCCTCTGTGTATGACTGTGTATCATGTGTGCCTGGTGCCTGTGAAGACCAGAAGATGAAAATGGATCCTTTGGGTTTGGAGTTATAGAAGGTTGTGGTTGCTGGGAATTGAACTCAGGTCTTCTGAAAGAACAACCAGTGCTGTTAACCACTGAGCCAACTCTCCAACCCTCATGTTGTTTCCTGAAAGGTTAATGAAGTGAGTAGGAGATGTGTTGTTTTAGCCCTTTAAATAACATAGAGGAATATGTCACCAGGATAGCATTCTGAGACTCACTGTGGGGAAATTGACATTCACCCTTTATAGTCTGGGGAAATTAGACTGGCAGTACATAAGTGCTCTTGACTCCAGGACGACAAGCTAGAAACATTGTTTAAAAGGTAAGTATGATTCCAAAGAGTAAGGCTTAAGGAATAGATTGAGAAAATTGAATGCTGTCAGATTTGAAAGTTGGGATTGATAGTCACAGATACAGATAATTAGGAAGAGAATGAAGGTGAAACTTTTCAGATTACAAAGGCAACTCTTTAGTGTAACCTCGAATTGTTAAGTCCACGAAAGGAAATAAGTGTGTGTGTTGGGGGGGTGACCCTATGGGTCCAGGTGCTTGCCACCAAACTTGATGACCTGAGTGTGATGTCCAAAACTCACAAGATAGAAGAAAGGAACTGACTACTTCCAAGAATTGTCTTCAGATCTCCATGTGTACAACCTGGTATGCACATACATACATAAATAGATAAGCAATCCAATGTATAAATGAAAGTTTAAAGGACAAAAGTTATGTATAAATGCATCAATCAGTGTTTGGTGCTAAAAGTTTGGCAGAGAAGAGACTTGGGAACAGAAAAAGAATAATCCCCAATATGACTATGTTTACAGAAAATGTTGGTGATATCAAAGTGGTCTTCACTTTGTAGAAAACAAGTGTATAAAGTACAATATAGTCAAAACTTAAAATATTAATTGGAATTATCAAAAATTCAGTACTTTTATGGCCAACAATGACAGAACAGTCCTGTAACACATATTTTTATATCTTCAACATTTAAACAGTTTCCTTCAGCACTATCATTTTTCTACTAAATTCACATGCAGTCAACTTAATAAAGGAGGGCATTCTACACGTAGATAATTATAAATTATATCTATTGATGCCAGCTCATGGTAACTGCTTTGTAGTCATTGTCTACTTGTACATGATTAAAGAACTTGATTGTTCTTGTTTTTCATTATTATTAAATTAATAAGTTTTTGAATAGAGTCATTTTGAAAATGGTTCTTAAGAGTAATACCTTTCAAGGTTCCCTAATCACTAGATAATTAACCTGCCAGGATTAAGTACACTCAACTTTGCCTCGGGATGCTTAGCTCTCAAATAAGGTCAATTATCTCCTGATAATGACTACTCTGTCAAAAGTTACCACTCCATTCCACAGTAAAGCATCACATCACCAGTGTGCCATAAGATAGTTGAGATAGAAAATATGCTTGAAATTGGGCAGAAGAGCTTCGTCGAATTATTTCATATGTGTTAAGAATAATACGTTGCTTATTAACCTCCTCCTTTTTGACTCTGACAGATGATTTCATTTTATAAAGATATTCCATCAATTCTTCTCTGGTAATTTTCCTGCATTACCATTTCTTTACAGAGAATCTGTATTAAACCTTTTAACTTCATAAAGTATAGAGCAGGAAAGCCAAGATTACTTCTTTCCTATGTGGTCATTTGATTCTTGTTGTTAAGACAGGTTTTCATTCCATAGCCTAGCTGGCCTCGAACTGGACTCAGCATCCAAAGTGCTAGTATTACAGATGCACACCCCCTGCCAAACTGCTTTCTCTTGCTCTCTTTCTCTCCTCCCCTCTCTTAAATCTCTCTCCCCTCTCCCCGAGTGGTTTAGCAATAAATGAATTACAAAACAGGGAAGAAAATTCCTCAGTTTGTTGGTGTGGTTGTTCAGTTACTGAGAAGTTGCTAGTCATATCTGGGTAGTAATGAGGCTAAAATGACCAAGAAGATAAGTGTTATTTGATAGATCAGAACATTTTGAGAAAAGTAAAATTGTCTTTAGGAGTTTAAGCCATATTTTCTAAACCTAATGTTAGCTTTAAGAAAGGGCATCACACCGCTGAGGGAGCAGGCCTGAGCCAGCGACCTCTGCGGGACTGGGCATAAATTAGCAACCACTGTGGTTGCAGGCCTGAGCCTGCAACCTCCACCAAAGCAGGCCCGAGGCAGCAACCTCCAGAGGAGCTGGCACAAAGGAGCAACCCCTGAGGGAGCAGACCCAAACCAGAGACCTCTGAAGCACTGGATCATGTGAATCAGTGACCGCTGAGGTAACAGCCCTGAGCCAGTGACTTCCACCAGAGCAGGCCTGAGACAGCAACCTCTGGTGTAGCAGAACCATGGCAGCAACCTCAGTGAGAGCAGGCCTGGATAACCCCTACAACAGCAACATCCCCACCCTTCCCACCCCAGGGAGACCCCAGGGAGTGCTGACCAACCTCCAGGAACAGTGAGTGACCTCCAGAGTGACTGGAACCATGGCCCTGACTGCATCATGAGGAGCAACCATCTGAGTCTTGGAGCCACTGAACTCTGGAAGATTGATCACCAGAGACACAGACAGCCCCAGCTACATCAATCAGAAGAAAAAATGGGTAGACAGGGTAAGAAGACACTCAACACCACAGAGAGAAACAAGACACGAATAAAAACTAGTAGACCTACAACAGCAAGACTTGAACAACCAAATATAAATGAGGCAGAAGAAAATGACGTAAAAAAACGACTCCAGGAGAATGTTTGAGGCCCTTAAAGAGGAAATGAAAAATTCCCTCAAAGAAATGGAGGAAAAGACAAAGAAAAAATTGGAAGAAATCAACAAATCTTAAAGAAAACCAAGAAAAAGCAATCAAACAGGTGAAAGAAACATTTAAAGACTTTAAAACTGAAATAGAGACAATAAAATATAAACTAGGGCAAGTATAGAAATGGAAAATGTCAAAAAAGATCAGGAACCACAAATGCAAGCATAATGAGCAGAATACAAGCGATGGAAGAGAGAATCTCAAGCGCTGAAGATACAGTAGAGGAAAATAGACTCATTGGTCAAAGAAATAATTAAGTCTAACAGAAACTTAACACAAAATA